AAAAAAACGCTATTAGGGATTGAAGGCCTACACCTCATTTCCACTATGTGATTTGAGGCAGGTTAGTCTCTGTGAGGCCCAGCCCCCTTAAAATAAAAATGAAAATGTTGACTTGGGCCAACTTCACAAGGCTGCTCAGAGGTTCAAATGAGGTCCTATATAGAAAACTATTTTTAAAATCATGAACACTAAACACAAATGAGAAATGAATTGTTGTGTGGATTACCTGTTGTTAATTTGGCAAAATAATTTATTGGCCACAAATTCTCTGCTAAAAATTAATACCCACGTGTACACTGGCTAGATTCAGTAATAATCTGAGAGTGAAGCCACCTCAGGGGACTGCTTCTCATGGGAGATCCAGGGAAAACAGAAACAAATGAAGTGACAATTGTTAGGGTAGGTTTTAGAGGAACAGTTGAAATAGTTTATTTTTATTGCATTTATTATTTTCTCTATTTATAAGAATATTTCCAGTCAGGCATGGTGGCGCAGGCCTGTAACCCCAGTGACTTGGGAGGCTGAGGCAGGAGGATAGCAAGTTCATGGCTAGTCTGGGGCAACTTAGCAAGACCCTGCTTCAAAATGAAATGAAAATGGTGAGTGATATAGGGCTGGGAATCTCACTGGTAAAGTGCTCACCTCACATGCATGAGGCCATGGGCTCCATCCCTATGCAAAACACACACACAAATGTTTGCTCATTGTAGAATAATGGAGAAAACATAAAGTTGTCAATTACAGTTATCCCTTCATTTAATGATAACTTAATATTTTCAATTTCCTGCATTTATGTTAGAACTTGCTACTATGCAAAATTGTTTTTGAAGTACATCTTCAGCTAGACTTGAAATTGTTTTTTTTTTAAAGAGAGAATGAGAGAGGAGAGAGAGAGAGAGAGAGAGAGAGAATTTTTAATATTTATTTTCTAGTTCTTGGCGGACACAACATCTTTGTTGGTATGTGGTGCTGAGGATCGAACCCGGGCCGTACGCATGCCAGGCGAGCGCGCTACCGCCTGAGCCACA